ATCATCCTGGCATCACTGACGGCAGGCTCACTCTGCCCCGGGTCCCTGCTTGGAGGCTGCGTGAGAGGCCTCCCCGCGAGAGTTGTGGTGGAGATAGTGTGTGATAGTGACAGTGCTGCAGCTTGGAGGCTGGCTGTAGTGACACAGAACACACAGCAAAGGTATGTGGGGAATAACAGACCACGAGCCACAGCCGAGAGTAGCTTTGAATTACTGTTTTACTCGTTCAAATTTGAGCATGTGGTGCAAAAAAAAACACAAAAAACAATGAAATTGCTGTCACAGGTTCAGGTAAATTCTATTACAGTTCATCCCATTTATTCCTATCATTTAGTATGAGCTCCTCAGTAGTGAGATGTTTGTTTTTACTGCATCCTTTAACACAGCATTGGAATTCTTTTTTTTTTGCGGTACGCGGGCCTCTCACTGTTGTGGCCTCTCCCGTTGCGGAGCACAGGCTCTGGACGCGCAGGCTCAGCGGCCATGGCTCACGGGTCCAGCCATTCCGCGGCATGCGGGCTCCTCCTGGACCAGGGCACGAACCCGTGTCCTCTGCATCGGCAGGCGGACTCTCAACCACTGCACCACCAGGGAAGCCCTGGAATTCTTTTAAAGTTATTTTGTTGTATGCTTTGTGCCAGTTTTTCAGTAACAGTTTTCCTGAGGTGTGATCTACACAGCATACAATTTACCCTTTCAAAGTGTGCCATTCAGTAGTTTTTAGTATATTCACACAGCTATGCAACCATTACCAGTCTCTGATTTTAGAACATTTTTGTTACCTCACAAGGAAACTCTGGGCCCATTAGCACTCACTCTCCATCCCCCTACCCTCAGCCCCTGGCAACGCTGATCTACTTTCTGTCTCTATGAATTTGCCTCTTCTGGATTGTTCATATAAATGGAATCATGCAGTATGTCGATTTTTGTGATGGCCTGTTTCATTTACTCTAGTGCTTTTCAAGTTTGTCCATGTGGTAGCATGAATCAATACTCCATTCTTTTTATGTATGGATAGACCGCGTCAGGTTTCTCCATCAGTTGATGGACATTTGGGTTGTTTCCGGGTTTTGCCTATTATGAATAACGCTGCTGTGAACATCAATGTACACGTTTTTGTGTGGACATAATGTTTTCATTTCTCTTGAATGCACATGTTGTGATACTTGAATTACAAAGGTTTTTAATTTTGATGAAGTCCAATTTTCTGTTTCTTGTTTTTGTTACTTGTGCTTTTGATATCGCATCTAAGAAACCATTGCCTACTTCAAGGTCATGAAAATTTATTCTTCCAAAAATTTATGGTTCTAGCTCTTAGGTCTAGGATCTATTTTATGTGTGGGAGGTACGGTTTAATACAGATCTTCACTTCAAATATTTACCTACATGTACTTTGTAGGAATTTGTTCAAATTTCTTGTGTTTTTTTGTCTTGCTTTGTACCTGTATTTATTGATAGGTTTCCTTTCTATGTGTATGCTATTGAAATTTGTCCTAATTTATTTCATTTCATGGTTTCTTTTCTAGTTACCAGGAGTTACAGTACCAGGATTTCCCTTTATCGTCCCCCATGTGTGGTGTAAAACCTCATATGCTTGTGTGTGTAATTCTGGAATGCTGTAATTTCATAGTCAATGTAATACATTTTCCTTCACCAATCACTTAATATTCAAGAGGAGTATAATGGAAGTACTTAACTTTTTTCCTTACAGAGCCCCCTGATGACCTGAGGCTGGCATGTAGAGTGGCCTTCCCGAGCCTTTACTCCGAGGGAGGGGCCCTCCCTCAGGGCCCCCCCTGTCAGCCTTTCCTGATCCGTCAGGGTGATTCCCCCCCCCCCCCCCCGCCCCCAGAGTGGGTCAGGAAGCCTGAGAGGCAGCTGTCCATCTGGCCTTGCTGGTGCCTGGGTGGCCTGCGTGTGGGTGAGAGCTGACGCCGAGGGAAGGTTAAGTATTACTCAGTATTCTTTAGGAAAGAAAGGCTGGAAACGGTTTAAAAAGTAAAGACTGTCACAACCAAGTGGTTCGTTATTGGCACAATTTGTTTCAACAAAACACATCTTGGTATATTTTCCTAAGGGAAAAAAATGTCAAGGTAAAAGCTACTTGTACAATAGGACAAATAGGAAAAAATTGTTTTTAAAATGTTGTGCTATCTGGTTATTTTATTTTTGTTTTATACGTGGTGGGAGTGGAGGTGGCTGTGTTTCTTGTGTGTTATGGGCCAGTCTGGAGTTGGTAAATGGACTTGAAGCCCTTACTCGTCAGAGGAACCTGTTCTTGGCGTTTCTAGCAATAGACGCACAAGTTTGGGAGCTTAGGGTTTGTTTTTAAGTAACCTTTATCAACTTTTCTAAGACAGCGTTTCTTCTTATCATGGAATTGAACATAAGAAGTTGTGCATATGATCATAGGGCCGAGACGAGTTTATTTCGTCTTTCTTGGCATTATAGAGTTTTTCCACCTATCTCCATGATCCACGTATTGGTTCTTTTTAAAGACAATGCACTATTCTGTTATATTGCAGTAGTATTATGTATTCAGCATGTTGGTATTTAGGACTGTTCTGCATACTGCATATTTTCCTATTACAGATAGTATCTTTTCACGTACAGTTTTTTGTGTGGGATTACCTGGTCAAAAGTGCGTCAGATGTTTTAGGATTTCCTTTGGAATCGCTTTTATCAGTTTATCGGGGCGGCTAGTTCGGTATAGCTTTCCAGCCTTTGTATTCTTTTCATCACTGTTATTACATAGATTTTAAGGCACCTGTCATGGTAAAGCGTCTGTCTTTTCATGGAAGGTTTGTACTCTGTTGCCTGTGTACGGAGTTTAGTATATCTGAGAACTGCATCCTCAGGAGCATATTCCCATGTTCTGAGCGGGTCTGAGCAGACCGAGCTCAGCAGTTGCTCTCATTGGCAAACCTGGCGAGCGTTTATTCCAGGTCAGAATAACATTCTCCACCCACGGAGCTGGTTTCACCATGTTGCGTGTGTGCTCTCTTAGTTTGCTCTAACCTCACCCTGGTGAGATGAGCGGTTACTATAAAATCAATAGAGCTTCACTAGAGACAATGCAGAACGAGAAAGAAACAACTTTTAAACAAAGCTGGTGTCTCAAAGCACCTGCTTTCCATCTTTATGGGCACTTTGAAAATTACTCCTGGGGTTGTATGCGGAACACAGTTTTGACTAACGTTACTACTAAGCACGTTACCGCACACTTTCCCACACGTTACTGAGGGCTGTTACCTCCTCCTCGTCAAGTGGGTGTACCGTGGCTGGCTGTGTTTTTGACCACCGTTCTCCGATGACTGAGCACTTGTAATTTTGTGAGTGTATGTGATTTTGCAGTGAGCGTAGTTTGGGGTCACGGCGGGTGGGTGGGTGCCAGGGTTTATCTCCTTAGGTGGGGTCTCTACGGTGGGGATTTCTGGGTTACAGGGGTGAACGGTCAGTGGTCGCTCCCACTCGTTCTCACGGGGACTGTGTTTCCTGCTGGCAGAGGGAACACTGTCTCCTCTAAGGTGGCGGGTCCACCTGCCTCGGGACAATAGACCTGGCCTGCAGCCTCCACACTTAACTCTGTCCCCCGTCTTTACCTGGGAGCCAGGAACTTACTTAACACCCGGTCCCTTTCACGAGAAATACCTTCTCGTGATTTCTGTATTCAGAATTGTGTGCACATCGTCATGACTACTCTGTAGACAGACCAGTTCATAAGAACCCAGGTTGAAAGAGTGTAGGCCCAAAGGAGAAGTCATCGTGGGGTGGATTACCAGTCGTTTTTTCCTTTGTTTTTGTAATTGTCTGTGATATCCTTTTATCTTCTTTATGACTAAAGAAGCAGGAGGGGTGTGTGTCTACACTGGGTTGAATAGCTGGGTGGAGCAGACCTGGCCTCCTGAGAAGACCTTTGTGAGCCCTGGACTGACCCTCTGTCGGTGCGCCACGTGTACAGACCCCCTCGTTGGTGAGGTTACAGCAGGTGCCAGCGGAGAGAGGAACTGGCCTCTGTGTGAGGGTGCCCGTTGTCGGCGGCTTGGGCCCCAGGACGAGGGGAGCCGCGGGGCAGACGGAGGAGGCCTCGCGGTGCGCGGCTCCTGTGAACAGACAGAGGAGACAAGTCATTCTCCTTGACCGTCCTCCTGTCCTTTTGGCAGTTTGACTTTAAAAGTAACTTTTTTTCCTGTTGCGAACAAGGCTGTTGTAGTTCGTGGACCGTTTATGAGCTTGTCAGTCACTCTGTCAGGGCTGCTCATAACCCACACTTTTCATACTGCAGTTAGCACATTTTGAAAAGTATAACTTCAGGCTTTATAAATTGATGTCCTGATAGCTTAGATTTTACAACAAATGTGTGGAGGTGAATGCTGTTTGATTTGGGCTGGCTCTAGGGCTGTGCTGTCCAGTACAGTCGCCACTAGCTATTTGTGGCTATATTTAAACTTAAAAGTTAAACTTCTATTCCTTAGTTGCGCTCACCCCGTTCTGAGCGCTCAGTAGCCACATTGAGCTGGCAGCGACCATACTGGACAGCACCTATACCTATGAAGTACACCTCTACTGTCACTACTGTCAAGTTCTCTTGAATAGCGCTCTTCCAGAGGAAAATGGTAAGCTGCAGAAAAAATGGTCCAAGGAGTTTAAATAGCATGTATCTTAAAGCTTTTTCTAAGCAAATTGCAAAGAATCCCAAGTTGGGGAGAGTGCCTCGGTCAGTCTTTGCAAATGAAAATATTCTGGGCATCCTCAGCATGCTCTGCTTATTTAAAGAAACTTGGAGCTGATACAAATGAATTCTTCCTTTTTAAATGAACCCTTGTTTATATTCACCAAGCTTACTTGATATGTGACATTTTCGTCTGTGGGAAAGCTGGCCTCTGTTGTCATGTAGTGTTGAGCAGGTAGGTATCTGCTTCATTGTAAAGAACCCAGCTGGACCAACAATGGGAAATGCACAGTTGGAGCTTTCTTGACACGCCTGTTTTTCCCTGTAGGAGAGCTGCGGCACATCACCAAGCTGAAGCCCTGGAGCCTCTTTGATGTACTTGTGGAAAAGTATGGTTGGCCCCATGAAGATGCTGCACAGTTTACAGATTTCCTGATCCCAATGTTAGAAATGGTTCCAGAAAAACGAGCCTCAGCGGGCGAATGCCTTCGGCACCCTTGGTTGAATTCTTAGCAGATTCTGCACACACACATTCTGAGCTGGCACATGTTGTCCAGTGCATTGGCCCTAAAGGGGGACTCTCGTTCTTAACAGGATTACAAGTGAGCTGGCTTCATCCTCAGACCTTTTATTTTGCTTTGAGGTACTGTCGTTTGACATTTTGCTTTTTTTGTGCACTGTGATCCTGGGGAAGGGCAGTCTTTTGTCTTCAGCTTAGTAGTTACTGACACACTTTACTTCTGGAAACAATAACATGTCTCTAAGCATTGTTTCTTGTGTTGTGTGACATTCAAATGTCAATTTTTTTTGAACGAAAAATACTTTCCTCCTTGTGTTTTGGCAGGTTTTGTAACTATTTATGAAGAAGTATTTTAGCTGAGTACTATATAATTTACAATCTTAAGAAATTATCAAGTTGGAACCAAGAAATAGCAAGGAAATGTACAATTTGATCTTCTGGCAAAGGGACATCATTCCTGTATTATAGTGTATGTAAATGCACCCTGTAAATGTTAATTTCCATTAAATATGGGATGGGGACTCAAATTTCAGAAAAGCTACCCAGTCTTGAGTGCTTTGTAGCCTAAGTTGCATGTAATGGACTTTACTCCAAGGAGTTGTGCAAACTTTTCATTCCGTGACAGTCCTTTTGCATTGGATTTTAAACAACTGGCTCTGGGTTATATCATTCCCTATATGGCACTTTATACAAAGAAAAGACATGCTTCTCATTCTAAACTACGTATTATAGTTTAGCACTCCCATTCATATTTTTGCATATTTTAAATTAAAGGTACTTTTAAGGAAAAAGAGCAATTTCCCTTTAAAAATGTGGTAGCCTGGTACCATGTGGCGTTGCCTCCTCCAAGCCCTGTAAGTTAAACTCTACATAGATTAAATTGGACAAGAGAAACATGTTCAGTGTGTGGAGTGAAAAAATATATTTTTTTGGAAAAGCTTGCTCGTGTTTGTCTAGAACCAAGGTATGATATGTACAACTTGCAGTGCAGTGGGCAGAATACTAACATCTCAGAGGTAACAGGGATTGCATTCATTCCAGGGACAGTTTCGTGTGTGGCTACAACACATTTTACTAGCTTTTTCATTGTCTTTCCATGCGCTGAAGTTGAGAAAATGATTTTTTCCCTTTGCAGATTGCACACAATTTTGTTTATGCATTTCCTTAAAACTGTAGAATCCAGAACACAAACCATAGTAGGCAATACAATTTTAGAATGTAATATATAGAGGTACATTTAGCCTCTTTTAGAAATCAGTGGATTGAATTTTTTTGTTCGTTTTACATTCCTCAAGGTGCCTCGTTTTTCTTGACTTTGTCCATTAACATTTATCCATATGCCTTTGCAATAACTAGATTGTGAAAAGTTAACAAGTGTTGTAACAATAATCCGTTGTTTGAGGTGCTTGCAGTTGTCTTAAAAATTAAAGTGTTTTGGGTTTCTTTTCCAGACATTGCCTTGGTCATTGGCCTATATTTGAAGCGATAGAATCAATAAACATTTGCTATCCTTTTAATGTAGTGTAACCAGAACGAAAGGAAGTATCAGCATTCCTGTAGCAGGAAAGGTAGTTGTAGAACATGCATTAAGGCTTAATACGAGGAAAACATTCATTGTTTTGTAAGGGTAGGATACGGATCTAGAAAAGATGCTGTAGTATAGATCCATTACCTAGAATTTCTGTGAACCTTTTTCATTCACGTTTCATCAGAAACATACTAGTTACATTTTGTTTGCGCATTGTCAGTTTTCTTCTTTTTTAACAGTATTCACTGTGAGGGAACAAGACACGTAATCCTCTTAGGAGTTAGCATTAGATCATATCGCTGTGAGGTGGAAGATACCATTCATTTATGAAATGTGCATGCTAAGCTTTTCTTCTGAGGCTGTAGGTGACCTTGTAGGTTCCGTGAACGATAGTGGCTGTAGACCAGTGATGCCATCCACAATTTGCACAGGAACCATTCTCACGAGAACCACGGAGTTCACGTATGTCTTCCCTAAGTCCATAAGAATTTTTATCAGGGTTATGGCACACTTGAATGAAATTTGTCTTTGGGCTCATGTTAGAAAATAATCCAGATAATTACGAACTTTGTAAGGATCTCTAATTTAGGATAAAATAGCCTAGCTAGTTTATAAATGTAAAAGCCACTGTTCTAGAAGGAATGTACATTTGTGTTAGGTATGGTATGGTTTTAGCAGATTCTTGGTGGCTTGATGATGATGAATGCATATAAGCTGAACGAGAACCACTGGTTTATGCAGAACACTATAGCCAGCTCCGTGATTTCAGTTCAGTGTCCTATCTTTTCCTTTCTCTAGTCCATGTGAAGTCATCATGGAAAATGACAAGCAGTGGCTCACATATGTGATGATAGCAGATTCAGAAGCTGGCTGTCTGGAAATTAGAACTGCCCCAAGGCAGAGGAAAAGTGGATATAATAGGAGCTTCAAAAAAGCATTAGCTTTCTAGGTGAAAACTGATTTACTAACTTGCTTCTTCCTGTACTTGGATCGTCCGTAGCTAGTTAACAGCTGGGGTAGAGAACTTCAGTTTGTATCTGCCGGTGAAATTACTTCTTAAATTCCAGTTTTCTCCCATTAATTTTTTTTAAGAAATTAATGCAGTTTACAGAAAAGCTTCCGTATACATTATTTGTATAGTAGGCAAATCTAGAACTATGAGGAATTAAAATCTTTAGGACGGTCCTTTTAAAGAGGTGTAACTATGCTAGTTAACTTTGTCTTCTGTTTGAAACTGTCGGTGGGGGGGGGGGGGGGGGGGATGACTGGATGATGTAAAGCCACTTCTTCGTGGACAGGTATTTCTTTAGCAAATACCGTGAGTAGAATCTTGTTGGATAATCAAGGATGGCAAAGTTGACCTAAGTTCTAAAACTTGATTAGGATTGAGCCCTACACACAGCTGTGTTAATGTAGCTGTTTTCAAAAGGAAATGGAAATTAAAAGTGTAAAAACATGACATACTACTGCCAATCTTAGTCATTTTTAGTCTGTTTACTTTTTTCTCCAATGCACAGAATTGGTATACTGTGTCAAATTATGTCAAGTAATTGGATGGTGAACTATGTGTTGACAAATACTGTCACTGCTATTGGTTTATACTTAATCCTCCTGAGAGGTAGAAGACAAAGAATAAGAATTTATTATTCCAAAATAATAACTAGTATTTTGTATTTCAGCAATAAAATGTTCACTTGAGAGGCCACTTTCATTTCACTTGAGAGAGCTAAGAATGCCTTTTTCCTGTAGTTTTGTACACCCAAAACAAATTTTTAACATTTCCTGCTACTCTTTAAAATACTATAGCTAGACAGTAAATGTTAAGGTTTTCAACTAATTTTGGTTCATCAGTAGGACATCTCAGTCATGTTCTAACATGTACAAATTAGATATTCCTGTGTTTTTAGGTAAAATATTCCGTACTTTCAAACAGCTGTAAATTAGTCTGTAGTTGAATCATGGGACGCTTCAATGGAATGGACTCATCTTGTATGATGTCAGATATAAGCAAACGTGTGCAGCATTTACGTAGCACGGTAGTTTCTCATGGCTCCTGCTCCTGCAAAACAGTAACACGTAGGAACCTTCCAGGAACAAGCCTTTACCGCCTCCTGATCTTGCTGCAGTCCCGTCCAGCTGAGGTAGTAGTTGCGAAAGAAAATGGAAGGCTCCTTACAAACTCTATCTGGAAAAGGTAACTTCTGTAAAAACGCTTGCATAAACAAACAGACCCCAATCTCAGAAGTGGTACAGGACAATTGGGTAAAACTGACATAATTGTGGTTTATTAACATGAATTAAAATGCCCAACCAGTGCTTCAATGTGACAGTATATTTAAAATAGAGGAATTAAAGGCCATATACTGTACTACTTTCACAAAGATCACACAGTTTTGCAAAGACATGTCATATGTACAGTGCTATGTGTCAAATGAGAAAAGCTGTAAGCGATTATATACGCAAAAGAAATGCAGTATTTACAGTTTTTCAGGAGACATTAAAAATCATCTGTACATTAAATTACATTTTGCTTGCAAATAACCGATAAAACAAAATGAGCCATCTTCACACCAAACTAAAAATCTGTATTGCATTTTTTTTATACATAAGATGCACTCACAGAACTGCTGATTGATAGAAAGAAAATCCTCGTACTGCCATTACTTAGCCGTGTATTTAATGCATATGTATAACATAATAATATAGAAAACATTCACTAAATGAATTTAATTCCAACAATAAAATTTAAAGATCATGTAGCATCAAATCTACTGCCAGAAAAACAGCTGGAATGTTCACTTACAAAATAAAAGATACCTACACTGGCTTAACAGCACATCTTTTAAGGGATTTTTTTAAAAAGCAAAAATGGGAGAAATACAATGAGAGAGCACTGGTGTTGTTTTGTTTTGTTTTTTATACAAAGTTTCATGTACAAGCTTTAAAAAGTACCTTAACAGGTACATATGAAATGTACAGTTTATCTTACAGAACATTTTAAAAAGTTTTTGGAGTCCATTTTAATGCCACCCTGAACCATGGTAATTGTTCTGAAATGTTGGTGGCACCTGTGCTCTGTGAATTGGAATCTGTCCAGGCACTGGAGATGCCTGCTGAGGTCCTTGAACCCCATGTGGCAGGGCCACAGAGCCAGGATGAGGACAGAACCCTGAAGCGGTAGGTGTGGGAATACTGTTTGGTCCTTGGGGCTGGAGATGAGGACCTGCGACTGGTAAAGGACAATGTGGCCCTGTTCCAGAAGGCTGGTGTTGGGGTCCCGGTCCCAGAGTGGTGTGATGTGTAGTAGCTTGTGAGGGGTACGGTGGTACAGCTGGATGAGCACTTGAAGGAAAAAGTGGAGGTCCTTGATGAGGTGGGTGGTGTAAGGCTGGAGCCGATGGGGTATGATGTCCGGAAGCCAGAACACCGGAAGGCGGCGGCGGAGGGGGTGGTGGAGGGGCGGAGCTCACCACGTGCTGGTGTTGTGCTTGCAGACCTGGGAGTCCCGTGGAGGGGTGGGGCGGTGGATGGTGATGCGGGGCGGGGGGGGGGGGGGGGGGGCGGCAGACGGTGTCCAGCCGTTTGAGAGTGAACGTGGGACCCAGGGGCGACAGCGTGGACAGGCCCCACGCCGTGTGCTACGGAGTGTGGCTGTGGCTGGGCGAGGTGTGGTCCTGGAGCGGGAGGGGGGGGAGGCGGGGGTGGGACTACGGCGGCGGAGGTCTGGTGGTGAACGGGAGGGGTCTGCGAAGGCAGAAAGTGCCCTGGAGTCACGTGATGTCCCGGAACGGCTTGCTGGCCCGTGGTGCCGGGAAGAGCTTGATTTGGTCCTGATGTAAACACAGTTTGTTGGGAAAGACTGCCTTTCAGCTGATTATAGCTCTGAAAGTTTGCGGAGGGCTGCTGGTTTTGATAGTAAGAGGACGAGGGGGGCGGCGGGGGGGGCGGGGGTGGTGGGGCCGCGCCGCCCAGGCTCGACTGGGTAAACTGCTGACTGAGCGCTGCCGGGGGCTGTCCTGAGGGCGTCTGTGTGAACAGCGCTCCAGAAGGGGCCTGCTGCGTACTGGCTTGAAGGTTCTGTGCTGCTGGGTAAAAATTTCTTGGAGGCTCTCGCTGAGGTGTTCCAACTTGAGGTGACTGTGAGTGGTGAGGCCTGTAGGGAGAGCCTAACTGCTGTGAAGGAGGCTTTGGTGAAAGATAACCGTGTTGTACAGGCGTGTGAGGCGTCGACGACTTTGGAGGATTTTCTACGTGAGGTGATGGAGGACAGTGCAACTTCACGGGCGCGGAAGGCAGCTTCTGTGCAAGTTGCTCAGATGAACTGCGAACAAGTGGCTGTGGAGGATGATTCTTCGAAAGTGCTTGGGTGTTACTTGACAGCTGTTTTTGATGGAGTTCTGTTTTCAGGTGGACACCGTTCTCAGCTTCTGACACAGTAACTGCTCCCTCCCAATGGGAATCTGGTTTTGTGAGTATTTTCCCATGTGGCTGGGCAGGAATTACAGGTCCCGGTGAACCAGGCTGTGAGAAGAAAACAAATTTATATAAACTTTAGAAACATTTTATGTACACTGAGGTTTGTTATTACTGGTATTTAATGTTAGCTAAATATTAATTGGAATGGGGGCAGGGAATAAGTGGTCTGAGAGGAGGACAACTACAGAGGCTTGGGATGTTAAAACGCCAGTTTTTTTAAGTAGTTGAGCAAGTTGTGATAATAAGCTTCAACTGAAGTCCCTGAAATTTTATTGAAGACAAGTTAAGGAAATTAATCTGCCTTTTTTCCCCGAGCAGTGAAACCTGTCTTTTTGACTCCTATTCTGCAAGAACCACACTTAAACACTGCAGGCAACTTTCAATTCCATAATTGAAATTTCTATACTCCACCTAAGGATAAATTTGCTTGGGTAGATAAACCTGCTCC